AGGAGACCCTATGTACTGGAGGTGCTGCTCAGGAGACCCTATGTACTGGAGGTGCTGCTCAGGAGACCCTATGTACTGGAGGTGCTGGTCAAGGGATTTCTATATCTGCTTCATCATTGGTGTAACAGGGATTGTCACCAAGGGTGACAAGCAGAGTGGAACATAGTGACAGCTTCTCTTCTCAAAGCTCATGTTGGTGGGCTCATGAGGAACAGACAAGGGGGAAGAAAGATGGAGGGAAATGAGATTCCATTATATACAAGGCAGCGTTTGATGAGGAGTGGAGGAGGGGGGATGTTGCTTGTGCTGTGGATTGCACACCGTGGGTATAGTGCTAAGACAGACAAAAGCACTTCCATTAGCTGGGGAAGTGGACTAATTTTGGAGATATGTAGAGTTGGATTTATTTAGTTACAACTTCGAGACATGGAAGCAAGAACGGGGAAAGGGCAAATGTCAGCAGCAAGATAAGGACAGGTACCTCAGGAAGTACACCCCAAGATTAGCAATGGATGTCTGGAGGCTTCAGAGGGAGCTCCAGGAGTAGTCTTCACAGTAGGTTCTGAGTTCACTGCTACCATAATGTTTCAAAGGATGAATGATACTTAGCAGGGACTCCATATGAAATGCTTTATTGCTGTTGTTTTGCATGTGTATGTGTGTGTGGTGGTGTGGTGTGCATGCATATATGTACATGTGTATATATATGTAATATATATGCATATAATGTGTGTGTATGTATATATGTCCACATTGTATGAGGGTGCTTGTGTGTGTGCCTGGAGGCCAGTGTTGATGCTGGGTGTCTTTCTTGATCATTCTCTTCTGTGATGCTAAATCTCTCAATTGAACCCAAGCTCACCAATTAGTCTATGGCCAACTTGTCCTGGAGATTCCCTTTTCTCTGGCTCCACAACTGTGTGGCTTTTATTTGGGTTCTCTGTGTGCAAATCCTTTTGCAGGTCAGTGCTTTATCCACTGATTCATTTCCACAGCTCCCAGATGAAATGTTTTTGAAGGTGTTTATAATTTAAACTACTAAGCAATGATAATAATTTAGACCTGGTAATTTAACTTTATAGCTAACTCTAAATTAAGATCACAAGGTATATGCTATAACATTTTCATTTAAATTATTCAAGATTCCTAATTTTCTGCATTTGCATTAAGAAAGTTTTATCTCTAGAACACTTGAAGCCATGATCTATTGTGAGTTAAATGCAATTGTATATTTAATTTGCTTTGAATTTTTAGTGTTGAAGAACTAAGTTCCAGTAGAATTAGAGCACAATTTCAGATTTCCCATTTTCTTAGTCTCTTATTTTCTTCAAAACATTGGTGCAAGGTTATGTACAAGCAAAGTTCTTAATAACTATCGATGATTCAGCAAATTACTATGTTCAGCACCAGTTGTCAGCCAGCCACTAGACAGAACCTTGGCATACAAAACCACCACTGAGTTTGATAATAATTTAGTGATTTTTTTTTTTAAAGGCTGGCCTGAGCTCCTTATCCCCTTGTCTCAGCCTCCTGGCTGCTGTCTTTACAGGCTATTAGCAACACACACTACTCATTCTTAAACTCTGTGTTTTTTCCAATCACATATACCTCATTTCTTGAGTTCCTAGCACCTCATTTTTACTTTGCACATTCTTGTCAGGCACAGCCCACAGTAGTTGCATTTCTAACACGCAGTCTTTCCTTCTTCCTGTTTACATGGTGTATTCACACATTTTGTTATCAAAACGTTCCTTTCCTAAGCAAGCTTTTAAATTGGGAGAATAATTTAGCCACCCTGAAGAGTCTGGAGCAACAACAGAATCTATCTTGTTGCTTTGCCTGGTGCTGGCATTGCTATTTTTACAGTCAGTGTGCGGCCGGGCTGTGGAGGCAGCCGTGTGGCAGGCGGGCGGCTTCCTCTCCTGTCTTTTCTCCTTTCCCTTTTCTTTTCCAAGGAGGACTATTTCCTTTTATGCAGTACCTATTCCAAGTGTGTGAGTTTTGCTTTCTGGCTGACTGCATAAGCTGCCTGCTGCTTTGTTTCCAAGCAGACATGATGCTTAGCAAGCTTAGCCAGCCATGAGCCCTAAGGACAAGGCAATCATCACGTGCTCACCCTGCCTTCAAGTCTGTGTTGTAAAACATGAACACTATCCCTTGCAGTTTTTTCCATCTCACCTCTGACTGGAGCACAGAGTCGGTGAATGAGAGGAATATTGCAGACTTTTTCCCCTACAGCATGATTTTATGCTTATTTGATTAGGGAATCATGCATGTAACCCTGAAGAATGTATCTTCATGGGAATGGAGATACATGGGAACCTCTGCTAGTGTGTTTCCCGAAGTCCACAAGCCTGTGTCTGGACATCTTAGTTAAAGATAGGTAAACTCTTCAGGTGTTAGGCTGGCTGACCAATGAGCTAGCTGCAATTGCAGAAAGCTGTCAAACATGCAGAAGATCCTCCCCTTGTCCACCTTGAGACCCGAGACATTCATGGCCAGCCTACAAGCCTGGGCTGTGAGCCCAAGTGCAAAGCCCTGTAGCTGCCCCTTCCCTAGGTTTCGGGTGTCTTTTGAGAAGTGCTGGGTTCAGAGCTGTGTCTGAGGCTTGTCCTGTCCCTGCTCTTTTTTTTTTTTCTGAGACAGGGTTTCTCTATGTAGCTTTGCGCCTTCCTGGCACTCACTTGGTAGCCCAGGCTGGCCTCGAACTCACAGAGATCTGCCTGGCTCTGCCTCCCGAGTGCTGGGATTAAAGGCGTGTGCCCCCACTGCCTGGCCTTGTCCCTGCTCTTGGGTGCAGGTACCATGATGGACACTCAGTTGGGCTGAACTTGACCTCTCCTTGCCATTCCAACCATGACCTTTGTTACACTTACCTTGTCTTCTCTCAGGTGCCTCACTCCTGATGCAGAAGCCCGTCCAGATATTGTAGAAGTTAGTTCCATGATCTCAGATGTGATGATGAAATATTTAGACACCTTATCCACATCCCAGCTGGCCTTGGAGAAGAAACTGGAGAGGGAGCGGAGGCGCACCCAGAGGTATTTTATGGAAGCCAACAGGAATGCTCTCACGTGTCACCATGAGCTGGCTCTGCTGTCTCAGGTAAGCAGAAAACTCTCGGTCCTACCTGAGGCCTTCCAATAATCTGTCTGAAGCTCTTCATGTTTGTTTAATGAAAAATTGCCTACAGTAAGGAAAGTAGTCAAAAAGCAAAGTATTTCCTCATCATATAGTTACATATTTGTATCCATTATTATATTCTACAAATGAATTTAAATAATTCAGAATTACTGATCTTCCACAGTACTTAACTGTAATGTATTGTGTACTGTGAAATCAGATCATCAGGAAGCACTCTTAGAACGTCATCATGTTAAGCTAATGCTCTCTGTGTGTAGCACCTAGTGCTTATAAATATTTATTTTCCTTAGCCATCTTGTCACACTTGAGGATAAACGTGTACGTTCACTCAGAGAAGAATACCATTTGTCTTTCTATTTTTCTTGCTGGTCTGTGTAGCCTCTCTGCTTGCTGCCCGTGTATGCCTTGTTGAAGCCTCACTCTCAATGCTTCTGGGTTTTTCTTTCCAGAACTATTTTGGTATCTAAGTGTTTCTCAGAGTACAGCTTGGAGGAGTCCAGAGCTTCGATTGGGCTCCTGGTGCTGGCGATGCTTTTGCTCTGTCCTACCTCCCTTTCCTGGACCTTGGCAGTGTGCTGAGTCTTCAGACACCCCTCGGAAGTGCTGCTCCTGTCCTGAGGGTGGGGCTCAAGGTGACAGGACCATAAGGCTCATTCTTGGTCGTCATGTCTGGTCATTGATTCCTTCCCACCATCCCAAAGACTTGCTCTCAGTGAGGAAATGAGACAAGAGTCAGTCTCAGGGAACAGACCTCACTGACTCCTGGAGTAACAGTGTTTCAGAGAACCCTGTTCCAGAGAGAAGGAAACACCGCTCTAAAGCACGCATGTCTTGAGGTACTCAAGAATCTTAAATTTGAGTACTCCATGCGTTTGTCTTCTGGGGAGACTCATCCTCATTACTTTAACTGCTGAGCCCAGCTGTGGCTTCAAGGCTGATCTACGCTGGCTTTCTGATGTTAGGAGGGGTAACCTGGAGCTGTGGCTCTCACTGAGCCCCAGGCTGGGAGCAGGGCTCACCTTGCTTATTATTTTCCTCTTGACTGCATAACATCAGGCAGCAGTATGAAACACACCCTTCCACGCACATTATATGTTTTAGTAGATTAAGATGCAAGAGATGTAGCTGTTTCTCTCCATCGTGGTATGAGCTTGGAGGCTGCAGTGCCACGCTCCAGCTGGATCCCAGGTGGATATGAGGGTCATTTTTCATTAGGTTCATGTGGTGGTGGGAGGGGTTCATTTAAAACTGAACAAGAGGAATCCTCTTATCTTCAGCAAAACACCTTGAGAGAGATCATTTTATATATTTATTATCACTTCTAAGCTTTAAAAATATATCTGTGGAAAATCTCAAATATATCAGCAAACCATTTCCTCCACACAGCCCCCAGCTCCAGCACTTGGCTGCTCAGAGCTAATCTCTGTCATTTCTGTACCGTCTGCTTCCCAAGCCTCATCTGTCTCAGATCACTCAGCAAATCCCCACTGCCACACGGTTTTACTCATCAGTGTATCCTTACATGTTTGGAGATTGGGTTCAGCTGGAGACGTCAGACTCTCAGGCCATGGCCAGAAAAACAGGGCAATCGGTGAAGCCAAAGAAAGGGGTTTTGAAGAAGCATTTACAAGCTTCAGAGAATATTGGAATTAAAATTTAATGTGTTCAAATCTACAGCACAACTTCAAAAGTCAGAGTACAATTGAAAGATTGGTTTTACTTAAATATGAGCATGGGAGTAATTCTTCTATTTAACTGTAAGCATGATTTTTTTTTTTTGAAGAATTTACATCTTGAGGGGACTGTAGATCTGTGATGTAAGAGTTCTCTGAAATTACCGACCCATGTGACTGTCAGTTAGGCAGTACTTTCCACGTAAGCATTGCAGTGGCACATTGTCGGAAAAACAAAATACCCAGGACTTATTATTGCTGATAAAGGAGAGAGGGAGCTGGGGCAATGACTCAGCAGTCTAGAGAGCGTGGCTGCTCTCTCAGAGGACCAGAGTTCGATTCCCAGAACCCATGTAGTAGCTCACAACCACCTGTATGTAATTCCAGTGCCAGAGGATCCAAGGCCCCACTCTGGTGTCTGTGAGTGCTGTCTGCATGTGGTACACAGATATATAGTCATGCAAAACCCCACACACATAAAAATAACAAATAAATAAAATGTTCAATTTTTTTTTTTATTTTTTATTTTAAAAAGGAGGAACAGGGCTGGAGAGATGTCGGTAAAGTGCTTACCTTGTAAGCATGAAGATCTGGGTTCAGTCCTGGTACTGCTGAGTGGTTTCTCCTGGGGGGAAGGGAAAAGTGTCTACGCATTCCAGAGAGGGCACCGACAGCAGAGCAAAGAAATGATTCCCCCAGAGGCTGACTTGACAAGCCAATACGTTTATCGGGGTTGCTTACAGGAGTATAGATGAGGGGTTACTTAGAAATGCAGACATGGTTCACATGCAGCTGTGGCACCAAAGGGCCCCCAAGCATGGGTGACAAGTCAGGACAGCTGCTCCGTTGGGAAGAGTTTCCTCTTCCCAGCATCCACCTTACAGTTTCTGTCATCTGGAGAAGGGCCCTGGGAATCTTGTTAACTTCGGGAACTTCTTGCTATTTGTGAGTTATCTACTCCCCCTTTCTGGAGGGGATGCTTTAGTTCAGAGAAAATCAAAGCATAGCAAATATTCACATAAAAACAAAGACAAAAACCTGCCGGTCAGGGACTGCTCCACGGCTGGGGTGAGGACATTTGCTTCCCGAGTTTGTTAACTTGAGAGTGATCCCTAGAACCCATGTAAAGTCAGATGTAGAGAACTGAACCCACAAAACTGTTCTCTGATGCCCATATGTGTACCATGGTACCTTTTTGAGGCCCACACACGCATCATGCGCAGATAAACACACAATAACAACAGTAGCAACAGTAAAACTCTGCAGATACCATGGCAATTATAGTAATCCCAACATTAGTAATGTGGAGGAAGGCAAATCCAGCCAGCCTAGCCTGCTTGCTCAACTCCAGTCCTGTAAGATACCCTGCCTCAAAAAAATAAGATGGGGCCACTGAGATTGAGTAGGTAAAGGTGCTTCACACCAAGCAGGATGACTGGGAATCCCAGGTACACACATGGTAGGAGGAGAGAAGTGACTTCTATAAGTTTTCTTCTTACCTCCATGTGCATACCGTGGCATACACACATGGGCACACACACACATGTGGGTACACACACACACACAAACAAACAATAAATTAATTATTTATTGAGAAAAAAGGAATGACCTAGGTTGTTCTCTAACCTCCACACACATGAACACACATGCACACCTGTACACACCCACACATAACCAAACACACACCAACAATTTAAAAAGGAAGAAAAGTTTGCTTTGTTTCTAATTCTCATGGCTCATGTCCTGGCTATGTGGCATATAACTTAAGATGGCATCAGTTCTATCAAACGTGCAGGCCTGTGTTAGGAGGAGGGCTTTAGTCTGTGGCTGGCTTGTCCAGGGGGCAGTTCTGCAGGAAAGCAGTGCATGCCAGTCATGTGGATAAACACGTTCACTGGGTCCCTAAGCCAGCACAAGGTGCCTCGTGGAGTGTTCAGTCTTTATGGACCATTGAGAGATAGTTGACTTCAAACCAAGCTTCTGTGACTACCTTAAAAACACAAAACTTCTCTCCTTGTACTGTCTTAAGCACACTAAGAATCTTCCCCTTTCAAAAGCAATCAAATACTAAGAGGAAAACACAGCTTTATTAAAGAACCAACAAGAACAATATAGTGCATCTTATCAAAAGAAAATAAGCAGCTAGTCTGCATTACTCTCACTAGGCACCAATTTTTATTAGGACTATTATTATCTTTTCATTGACTTCTTTATTTGTTTTTATTCTATTTTAATTAAAAATTTTCAATTAGCATTTGCAGAATTGAGTTTCATTATGGCGCTTCTAAACTATCTTTTTTTATTGGTTCTCTTTCCTCACTTCTCTTTGTTCCATCACCCCTGGTGCCCTTCGCCCTCCCCCAACAGCCTCCTTTGTGCTTCCTGGTCATGTAGGTCCTTTGCCCTCCTTTGTGCTTCCTGGTCATGTAGGTCCTTTGCCCTCTCCATTATTATTTCCACTTACGTTTTACGCTGTCTCTGCTCTCCTCAAGCAATGTTATGATTGTTCCAAGTGTGTGGAAGGCTGTTTCAGAGCAGCTACTACCAATAACGCAGCCACAGAACTCATTATGAATGAGCACTAAAGGGAGGAGAAATTGGTGGACCACTGCAGATCCGCACGTCTGGAGGGAGATTTGTGGTGAATTGGTGGAATGCTTCAGATTGGTGGGTTCGCTGATAACCGACAGGAAACACCACAGACTTCCATCTCAGGGGGCATGTGCTATTTATCCCCCTACTTTAGCTTATTTTAGATTATGGAAAATTTCAAAATAGGCTGTTAAAGATGAGTACAAATATATATTTCAAAAGAGCCAAGGAAGCTTCATTAATGAACTCTGTTCCTGCTGAGTACTGCAGTTACCTACTGTGAAAGTGAAGCAAGGCGTTCCCTTTAACTTCTGAAATTCCAGATGAGAACTGATACAGGGAGCTGTTAAGAATGAGAATAAATTAGACTAGAATAAGGTACAGGCTTCACTCAAATGTCTGACAACGAGAGGTATATGGGGGTGCTTCGGAGACTGTGACAGCCACATCTTGTTTGGGGTTCTGACACAGTTCACAATGCATTGAGCCCACAATCGTGACCCTGTGGGTATTATTTTAGACCTGAGCAGAACATCAATGTAGGAATTGTAAAGAAGACTTTGCTTAGTTCTTCCCCACCAAACAGGAGGCAGCCATTAGTGCTGGGGTTGCAGATGTGCATGCATCCAGGACAACAGTCTAAGCCTTCAGTGTGGGTGCTGGGGATCTGAACTCAGGTCCTCATATCTGTGAAGA